TTAACACAAAACAGAGAGCTCTGTACTGACGTATTACAAATCACATGAAGGGGGAACAACATATACAGTTAATCCCTGGACCCTGACCACAATGCCAATATAAGATACAGGTTAACAATACCAACACTTTCATTATTTTGTGGACTATGTTGTCGCAATGCTATCAAGTCAACCCTGATCAATATTTTCAATAATGTATATTTAACACATTTGTATTATATTAATAGATTACATCATGCCCCGTTAAAATGAACTGTAATTAACGTTAGTGCTGAAGTCATGTAATTTTAGTTATGATGTAGGCCTATTGCGTTTCTATCTGGGAATTTGTAGCCTATCCAAGCCAGTCATGTAGCCTACGCGTGCGGCACTCACTGTCTCTCTCATGATTCTAATTAAGTTTCTTCTGATTCTTCTCTTGTGCTGATGATAAATTCACACTGAGAGACATACAGACGGGAGCGAGCGCAACACGGCCCTGGCCAGATAAAATAACAATACAATTAATTGAATTCGAATGGGCTGACTCCCTTTGTGAAAACTAGCCCATTCCAAAACTTTGCAAATATGCCAGATAACTGTTTTAATGGGTCGTGTTTCATTTAAACTTAATCCGTTTTGATTGAAAGGTCCTTGCAACTTTTCCAAATAAATGTATGTAAAGTCAAGTCACCCGTTTGTGTTCCCCACTTTCTTTTGTCATATAAACAGGCATAGGGTTGGCGGGCAAGAACCATATTGCGCATGTACACATTTTGCCAGGAGGCTGTTTCCATTTTTCAGGCCCAGATTTATGTGAGGAAACTCAAGAATAGGCTATGTCAAGTATGATACATTATTTTTTGAGGTGCCATTGGAAGCAACTTTGCTGATTGGAAATGGTTTCAGTTATAGGCCATGGGCTTTCACATATAATAATCCCCAATAATGGATTAGCCTAACAATATATGATGGCATAATTATAGCCAAATAATAATAATAATAATAATCATAATAATAATAATATTAATAATAATACATGTGATAATTATACTATAATAATACGGTAGCCTAATAAAGTTGCTATAAACATAATTATTGTTCTTGTTAAACGTGTAGGTAGTTATTATACCATGTCAATATTTCCATGACAATAAAACTCAAAAGTTGTTGTTGTTATTGTTAATTTGGTTGTTATACAAAACCCAATAACTACACAATAGCTCACTATTTTTCTATAGGCCTACCCGTCGCACATAAGACAACTGATTCAGGAACGTTGTGTAAGCAAAGTGCGTTTATTTAAATTGTATAATTTGTTTTAGCCTACTGTGACAGTTGTAGGCTAGACACATAATTTGCAATTAACCCAAAATATTTAGCTAAAAGGCTATCTATCCATTCAAGGACATCTTCATGTGTGACATTGCTTCATGACATTACTGAAACAGGTAAGTAACTGTAACCACCCAGCACAACTCACCGACTTCGGTGGGTCACATTGCCTCGGTCTCTCGCGGGTGTCCCCGGGTGCGACAGCGTGCAAGAGGACGGTAAGAAGGAACCATCGAAGTCCTGGAGGACAGACCATCTCGAGATGAGAAGAGAGTGGTGTCGACAGGCTGTTGTAGATACTTCAATCTTCCCCCTGTCTCTTTCTCGCTGTTTACTGTCTTTCGCCTCCTAACATGTAACAAAATAGACCCGGAGGAGACAGGGTTCGGCTCACATGTGCCATTCGAAAGGAGGGCATGGATCATTCCGACTCCGCCATTCCCAAACCCCAGGCAGCTATTAACGGGCTACGCGTTCTGCTTTCCCTGTCTCTTCTCACTCGGCGCTGTCCTGTGTCAGTTGGTTATTCAGCAGTTGCAGGGGAAAGTTTTCGCAGTGCACTCTAGAAGTTTGAAGCCTGGCTGGTTGAGTGGAGGAGGAAGAGGTGGAACGCTTCGAATATTTCCCCCCACTGCTAAATTTAAGAGGAGGGGAGCGTAGGTTCTGAGAGGAGAGGGAGAGCACACCTTTGCATGTGAGTGAGAGATGATATGGGAGATGGAGTTATACAAACTGTCATCTGTAATTCCAGTGCTTAAAACCCTGCACGAATCAAAATAATGCAATGCCAAATTGCCAACAACTGAAAGGGCAGGTGAGACAATGTTGCAATGCCAGTCTGGTGCCTTTCAAGCCAGGAGTCCTTCAAAACATCTTAATTAGTTATATTAAACATGTCATCTGTTTCTTTTTCATTTGGTTCGCATTTATCACTGTCATTGCATGTTTGACACTTTTTGCACAATACTTTAATATGGGCCCTTAGACCCAGTGTCCCAATCATGAATGATTAATGCCTACAATTAAACATTTCAGTAAAGACAACTGTGAAGAGTGTTTTATTTATTTATCTTATAATAGCCCTCTTAGATATGGTCATCTTGTGTAATTCTGAATGGTTCCGATGAATGTCCATGTTGAGAGACAAAGTTTTCCCTCTCTTCAGGCCACAGTGTCAAAACTCTGCCATGACCCATGTTATTGTCCAAGTGGCAGACAGTGTGACAGAATCAAGTAGCGGGCCATTTATCATGGGAGCACCTCAAACAAGTGTCACCCGGGCCTCCCCTCTGGGCCAATGGCAGAAAGGCCCCAGACAAGCCATTCTTTGTCCTCTGTCTTGTTTTAACTCTCTCTCCTCACTACTCTACTCTCATCTCTGGACGCCTGGTCTGTGTTTGACTCTGACTGTCCTCACGGTTCTCCAACTGGATTCTGGATACACATGTAACAAATTATCTGTTTGTTCTGGGGTTGTTGCTTAAGTGTCTTTTATCTCCCTCTACATTCACATTGCTGAACTGACTCGTGATTGTTTCATCTAAGAACTGATCCCACATCAGTCTACTAAGGGTTTGATTTATGGATATGTCTACCCCACAGTATTGGTATGAAAACATTTTCAAAGTACCTTTTTTCATGCATCAGTGCATGTAAATTGTATATATATAAGAATACCTCCCTCCTAGACTTGGCCTACTCATATCTAATCTAATCCAAATCTACGTATTTGACCTTGCAACTCCTCTTGCAGTTAGTTCTTGTGCAAGACAGGTGTGTGTGATTTCAGTTGCAGACTCCTCTGTTGTAATGTGACCACCTGCAGACACAGTTACCTGCTTTAACCACACCTTGTGAAAGGCTTCTCTTTGAAGGAGGCTGGTTCACATTCTTGGCTGGTTAGACAAGGCTTATGAGCGGCTGCATGCAGGAGATTCCTGGACAAGGGCCAGGATTTACAGCATATATAGACCAGAGACAGACGGCATAAGAAAATACTTAAAAGTTAATGTTCTGTTTGCAAACCACAGAAAACGCTCACTGCTGAAAATGGATGTCTGAGGACGTGTTAGCAAGACACAGGCACAGAGGGAGGGAGGGAGAGAGGGAGAAATAGAGAGAGGGAGAAATAGAGGGAGGGAGAAAGAGAGGGAGAGAGGGAGAGAGGGAGAGAGGGAGAGATGGAGGAAGAGAGAGCACGAGGGGGACAGTAAGTGAGACAGAGCTCTTATTCTGTGCATGTGTACATTGTTTCAATTCCGTTCCTGAGTTATCTTGGTAGTGGGGAAACTTATACAATACATCCACGATTGGACCTGTCATTATTGATATGCATTTTCAATGTCCATTTTTCTGACATTGATCACTTACTACAGTATAATAATGATTCTATAAGAAAAGGTTGTGCATGAGTATGATGAGCGTACACACACGGACAAAGAGAAAGAGAGCACCAACAAAGGCCCTGATAATGTCCTCTGGTAATGTCCTCTGTTAATGCCTGCTGGCCACCAACTCTATGGGTCTTGTGTATACATGTCCTTGTGGCTTCATGACAGCCGGCCTGATGCTCTGCAGAAGACCACGGCCACAAAGCTGAGGTATTAGCTCTCAGTCTCTCTCTCTGTCTGCACCTCTCTTTTGTATAAAAGAGTAACTGTTTTAGTGTGTCAAAATGTATGATGGCGTTCATCATGTGAAGAGGGACCCCTAGTGGTGGAATACGGAATTGCGTTGATACCTACAGTTTTTACGGTAGCCTGCAGTCAAAGGACAAGGGGTGAGAGAGACATAGCCTGACAATAGTCAGAGACAGATTTTGAAATGTAGTGATTGATAGATAAAGAAAGAAAGAAAGAACATCACAGAGGATGTGAGTATGGATGATGATGGATGAAGATTACTTATCTAGAGAATGGCCCAACATTGCTTTAGGCTTCTTTACTTCAGAGGAGAGGCTGACAATGTGATTACTCTGGAGCCTTGGCTTCAGCCCGACCTGCCCCTTCACCCACACACTGTCTTGAGCTACACTACACACTGTCTCTCCCCCCCCGTCCTCTCTCCATGTTCAGCCTGCTGCTATATCTTCCTGCTTTGTGTACTTGGAATAATATTGACTCTGAGTCCCTGGTAAATGTTTTATTGTGGTTTCACCTTCCGGATGTCCTGGGGTAGCGAGGGGTAAAGGGCTGTGGAGTAGTGGGAACGGGGGAGAGAAGTGGTTTGGACAACAATGTTTTGGACGACATAGTCGAAAGTGGGAGGTTGACTACTGTACATTAGGATGCTCTGGGGTTGTGTATGTTTTCCACTGTTTCTGCTGTAAGATCACCCCACATGCAGTGGATGGCTATCTCTCAGAGATCAGGAGGAGTGAGAGGAGGGAAGAGATTGGAGAGAGAGATAGAGAGATAGGATGATAGTCAGGGGTTGTTTTGCTGCTTGGAATGTGTTTTCTCCTCTCTTTTGAATTATATGTGATTGAGTGGAAAATTAGAATAATGTAAGTTTCCATTGTGGAAAAGTAATAATTTTTACTCTCTCTCTCTCTCTCTCTCTCTCTCTCTCTCTCTCTCTCTCTCTCTCTCTCTCTCCTCTCTCTCTCTCACACACACACACACACCACACACACACACACACACACACACACTCACACACACACACACACACCACACACACACACCACACACACACACACACACACCACACACACACCACACACACACACACACACACACACACACACACACACACACATGGACCCCTGTGTTTGTCTTCTGAAGCACATTGAGCACTCACATCAAAGGACTGGCTGGCACACTCACTCATCCTCTGATCCCATGATGCATTGTGTCTTCCCATTGATCACAGCCCATGGGACTCATTGTATGATATATTTTCAGAGGCCCCTGTTAGCCTTTTCCCTCCAGACGGGAATGACTGGAGCTTCTCCTGCTGAAAAGTAAATCTATCTGCATTGTAAAAGAATCAGAGAAGAAGAATAACACTCTATCTCCACTCATCATGTAGGATTACAGCAGCCATTGTGACAGGACTGTAGAGTTCAGAGCCAGACAAATGATGCTGTGGATATCATAATATTATGGAAATAATATGACATTGTTGTATGACATTGTTGCCAGTCAACAATCCTTTCACATTTGCTATTCTAGTCCCTCAGACAGCTTATCCTGGTTGGAGTGATTGTGAAACCAATGCGCCAAACCACGGCTTCAGGTCTCATAGAGGAACACATAAACACCATGCAGTATGTCATACCAGGTCCTACTGGTCCACAGACACCACTGCATGCTGTTTTTAGGATCCGTCTTTCTTTAGACTCCGTCTTCTTTAGACTGTATTGAAAAGAGATCTAGACATTACCTTCCTTTGAAGATTAACATTTAATTTAGTTATTTTGAAAAAGATGAAATTACAAGCAGCTTTCATTTCTAGGTTTTGCAACAACGGATCAACGTTGAATTCAGTAAGCATATCAACCAATAAGGATATTATCGCAACCAAAGAAATGGGCTCACAGACGATACTCAGATATAGCTGTCCGTCCCATGTTATAGGGTGTCATTTTGGTGCTCTACCTTTTCCTTCTGTCTGTAGTGGGAGCAGACCAGGGACAGGAGCCATGAGTCCAGTGCTCTGCCCAGAGAAATAAAGCCTGTCTTCTGTTGGAGCCAGAGCAAGCTGTGTGTGTGGCTGCCCGTGTTTTCATCAGGGGTGAAACCTTAACCGTGTTTATGCTGCGTTCATCCACAGTTTATTTAGTATTTGTCTAGAACATCTGACTGACTCACCGACTCTAGGGTGGTACTGTGTTCTGCCGCTGTGCCTTATAACATTATTCAGGATATAACTTTATGAGTGGATGGTTTTGTGTCTGTGTATGTTTGGAATGCTCAATCTTCAGTATATTGAGTTCACTCCCAAGTCAGAATATTGACCCATCCATTTTACATCAATCATACCTGTATGATCTACCTTGACCAGAACTAACTCTTCTTTGTCAGCTGCTGAACACCTTCTAGTTAAGGCTTTCAGTAGTTCAGTCAGTCAGTCATTACATGATAAGATGCTGGAGGAGGTCTGGTATTCCTCAGATCCTATCAAGACATCTATCCTCGAGTGCTGCCTGTCCAACATGGCCGACACTGTGCGCCGTTGGGTCTTCCTGGGCTGCAGCGCAGGGAGCAACATGCCTCCAGCCTGTAACCCTATCCCCAACTCTCACAACCCACA